ACAGAGCTGACGTTTTGATAGTTCTTCTTCCAAGCTCTTGCAGGAAACGTTGCGCAACTAATCGGTCCAATCGGTCAAATGGGCCAAAACTCGAAATTCTACTCTGGTATTGCACCGCGCCGGCTTCAGCGAAACAAAGTGAGCGGTTTGCTACCACATCTCACTATTCAAATGCCGGTGTACAAGGAAGGTCTCCATTCCGTTATTGAACCAACCATTCGGTCTATCAAGGCTGCAATTTCGACGTATGAAATGCAAGGCGGGACTGCGAATATCTTTATCAATGACGATGGAATGCAACTTGTGTCCGACGAAGATGCCCAAGCAAGACAAGACTTTTACGATGAGCACAACATTGGCTGGGTGTCAAGGCCGAAGCATAATCCCAAGCCAAAGGAAGGAGAGGAGCCATTCCTTCGCCGTGGTAAATTCAAAAAGGCTTCCAATATGAACTATGCTCTATGGGTCAGCAACAGAGTTGAAGAGAAATTAAACAATATCCACCGTCCAGACACCTGGTCCCAACAAGATGAAAATCATGCCTATCGACAAGCTCTGGATGAAATCATCAAATTAGATGGTGGTCGTACCTGGGCTGACGGTAATATTCGCATGGGCGACTACATCCTTCTCATCGACTCCGACACACGTGTGCCAACCGACTGCTTCCTCGACGCCGTTAGTGAAATGGAACAATCTCCTCAGGTCGCCATTATACAATTCTCATCTGGTGTCATGAACGTCACTGACAGCTTTTTCGAACGTGGTATCACATTCTTCACGAACCTTGTCTACACACAGATCCAATATGCCGTCGCAAATGGCGATGTTGCCCCGTTCGTTGGTCACAATGCTGTTTTACGCTGGTCCGCTCTGCAAGAAATCGCATATGACTGCCCCGATGATCACCGCGAAAAATACTGGTCGGAAGCGACCGTCTCAGAAGATTTCGATATGGCCTTGCGTCTACAGACAACCGGATACCTCGTAAGATTAGCTGCATACACCGGTCAAGGGTTCAAGGAGGGAGTTTCGTTGACTGTATATGATGAGCTTGCACGCTGGGAAAAATACGCCTACGGTTGTAACGAACTCATTTTCCACCCAATACGGTACTGGTTCGTACGAGGACCCTTTACACCCCTGTTCAAGAACTTTATCCGGTCTAATATGCCTCTGCCGAGCAAAATCACTATTCTGGCTTACATTGGAACATATTATGCACTTGGAAGTGCCTGGATCCTTACATTGATGAACTATTTCCTCGTCGGATGGTTTAACGGCCAGTTGGACCACTACTATATCGACAGCTTCAAAGTATACTTCGCCATTATCGTTGTATTTACTGCGCTCGGCAACATCGCCCTTGCAATCCTTCGCTACAGGATGGAAGAAAAGTCTCTCTTCTCCGCGTTTGTAGAGAATTTTAAATGGATACCTCTCCTCGTTGTCTTTCTCGGCGGAATCTCTCTACACGTTTCCCAAGCTCTGCTCTGCCACATGCTTTCTATCGACATGTCTTGGGGTGCCACTGCCAAAGAAGTCGAAAATGTGACTTTCTTTGAGGAAATACCCAGAGTTATCAGGCGGTTCAAATACACGTTTGTGTTTTGTATTGCGGTGAGCGCGATGATGGTTGTCATGGCCAAGGTCGTGCCGGAGATGTGGCGGATAAGCTTTTTTACTCCAATTTGGCCATTGGCGAGTATCGTGTTTTGTCACTTCTTCTTGCCAATAGCACTGAATCCGAATTTGATGCTTTTTACTTGGTAGAGTGTCAAGTTACAAGTAAAGGATTAGATGGTGTTGGTATAGAGATGGTGTAGAACCGTTATTTTTCACGAGCTTTGCACATTCTTCAGCGGTATCGCATTCTTCAAACTCTTTCCTTTCACGACTATCAGCACGAGAACTACTATTTTCTCAATTATTCATAATGCAGACAAGAATCGATTGAGCTGGGCGTTTTTGTATATATAGAAGGAATTGGGACCAGATACAAGTTTCAGGTTTCTCTGTAATTAGTTGGGAAAGGGTAGATATTGAAGGTGTAATAATGGTAGAAACATCGAACTTTAATATTGAACGAAAGGATAGTAATTTGATGGTGTTTATTGAAAATGTCATTGGGGTGGTCCGTGACGTTGAAGATTGGTGATCCTCCACGCCAAACTTGCGCCGGCCTTGTCAACTTCTCTCCACTGACCGTCTCTCCCTATGCACGTGGACTACGTTTTAACTTCACCTTCCTTTCACGTCCACACAGCTAGGTTCCACCCGCAAAGCGTAACTAAACTTGAAGCGTTAACAAACCAGAAAGCCTAAGTAATCCAACTAGAAGTAGCGTAGTATGTCGCTTTCAGTGCGTATTAAGCCTACTCTATGCTTAACAAAGGGAGAAATGCAATTCATTACAATTTACGGAGAGGAACTACGCATTGACGGGTGACAGCTTCCAACCAAGACCTCGTACCGCCTTGTAGCGATTACTTATAACTCCTCCTCCATGGCTATCGCAGTCACGTCTCGTACTATACACCGGGACAGCCACGATGGTTCTCGTTTCGCTGAAGAACATCTTCTTCTCGCCTCAAAATATCTACCCTAAGCATCGCTACACGCCCATTGACCTTGAGAATACCCTCGCGTCTTCCTCTGTTTCTCGTATTTCTACCGAGCATATCAGTCCGAGCGAGTCCGCCCACTTTGTCGACAAATTCGAGGGCAACGAGCCTTTTTTAGATGCATCGACAAAGTCAACATCGACTCCACGGAACTCAATCGATCCTCGAATAGTCTCGGATGCTACGTTAGGACTTTCGGATGGCCTTACAGTGCCCTTTGCCGTGACGGCAGGGTTATCAGCTCTAGGGAGCAGCAGGATCGTTGTATTCGGTGGTCTCGCCGAGTTGCTTGCGGGAGGTTTGTCGATGGGAATAGGAGGCTGGTTGTCAGCGAGTACGGAAGCGTGCGTTTATACGCTCTTTCTCTCATGAATTCAAGCGCATTTCCTTGGTTATGGGACCACTTTGCTAAATAACGTGTCTAAAACAGAGAATCCTACGCCTCTAAATTGCGTTCCACTCAGCTCCTCGTTAAGAACTCTCCTAATACCGCCATATCACTTGCTCGCTCGACCCTGCAGCCCTATTTATCCAATCCTTCTTCCAACATGGACATGACTTCCAATCCCAAGCTCCTAACAAATTTCCTAATGCGCTTCTACCACGACATACCAGAACCATCATCAACACGCGGCGCCGGACTTTCCGCCCTCATAATCGCAAGCGGATACTTCATCGGTGGCTTCATACCTCTATTACCCTACTTCTTTGTAAACGAGATTGGACGGGCTTTCTGGTGGAGTGTTGGGGTTATGGTGTTTGCCCAGTTTGTGTTTGGATGGGGAAAGACTTGGATTACAATCAGGGAGAGCGAAGACGAGAGTGGCTTATGGGATGGTGGTGCAGGGAGAGGTAATGGTAGAGCAGTAATTGCATGGAAATGTTTCAAGGGTGGTATTCAGATGGTTGTACTGGGAGGGATTGCAGCGGGCGCAGCAATGAGTGTCGGAATGGTGTTTGATTCTTCTGGGGCTGGTGGAGAAAGATCAAAACGGGCGCAAGTGTGGTAAGCCCTGGCTTCTGGCCATGTAAAGGTAGCAATACCATTGTCTTCATATTTACCCTTTGCATTTAGACCACTTTTGCATATTCCACTTACTCACGCAGCCAGTCCTCACAAGGTCCTCACCCTCATGTGTCCTGGATTTATGTTCACGGCTGAACTCTTCTCGTATATCGGGGTCAGTTTCTGACCGAAGCCTCTGCGAATCTTCATTCCCATGTCTGGCCGGGAGGCCTTCGACAAGACCTCGATGTACAACTAGCTATGTAAACAATCCAGCACCTAGTGTCGAATCACAGACCAAAACGACACTTCATGGACTCAACGACTTGAAGGGACCGGAGTATCTTCACCCATTGATATCGGGGCCGGCCACGGTATCTCGTGTACGCTTTACTTTAGCCACTTTTCCAGAATGGTCCGCCATGATTTCTGTATGTCTTTGCTCACTAGCCTTGGTTGGAGAGGAAACACTACTATGCGAGAGGGCCCGTGTTCGAGCCTGGGCGGACCCTACTTGTTGCCTTTTAACTCTTACCCTTTCCTTGCCACTGCGGAGACCGCTTTTTTTTTCCACCTACCGTTTTCAGCCTTTTCTCCTGCTCCCGCATTGGTCTTGGTGCAAAGATGTTGATTTATTCTGTTTTTTAATTCACACCTCTATTTGAATTTCTTCCGACCATATATTTGTTGCAGGCGTTCCGGCTATTTGCTTAAGCTACTCCATGCCGCCGTACAGGTAAGAATTTGATCCAAACGACCTCATGCTGCTGTACATGTAAGAATCATTGAGACGACTCGTACCGTTGTGCATGCGTCAACTGATATAACTACTGCTTATTCCGATTTGCCTATGATGTTTAATTAGTTTGTCCTACCCTCCCGATTCTCCTGCTGCGTCCGCAACCGAGCAACAGCCACCAATTGCGAAGAAAGTTAATGGCAGCTTGGGGACAAGCTGGTTTAAAATTGGGGATAGAGGGATCATAGGGGACGCTTGAGAAGGAAGGGACGACTTTTTGACTCTTGTATAACTGTCGCGTGTGGCTTCTGGATATGTGTTGGTTGCTGTCTCTCAGGAGCTCGGCGATTTGGAACGTAGCCATTCCAATGGATTTGAGTTGTGCCACCTAAGTTACGAGTAGAAAATTATGGGCGGCACGTAACGCACCGTATATAGCTTTGCTTGTTCTTTATGTCGTTTCTCCTCTATAACATTATTCAATAGGCATTAGTCGATAAGAGCTATACCATTTTATTTGAAGTAAATATATATAAGACGTAATGTTAACTTGGGGAAGAAAAAAAATTGGAGCTACTACCAAGAAAGCAATAGATTTGTATCTTATTACAAAAAAAGATATTGAATTAATGGGTCTAGCCGCGACTCGAACGCGGGGCCTGCCGCAAGTGAGAAACTCCCTAAGCGGCAATCATACCACTAGACCACTAGACCCTCTTAGTGAATATATAATAGACGATTTTTATTTAGAATATATACTACAAAAAATGCCACAAAATAATATTAAAGCTAAGCTAAAATGTGATTTTTAGCGTTAGACTATTTCTAATAGAAGGATCTATTAGTAAGGAGCCAACAAGTAAACGTTTTAATTGCCCCTCGCTAAGCTTACAGCAATCTTTGTTGTTACTACCCTTGGCCTTTAGTTTGCTCTCCAACAGACTTTCTCTCATAATAATTAACTCTCTCCTTCCGCGAACGTACACAAGGGCCTTTCTTGCGCTCCGTCTAAGGAGGTGTTTGTGTGCAAGATGATGACCTTCGCGCAAGAGGGAAGGCGAGTCCGTAAAGCTCGGCCTTGAGCGGCAGAGGGACGCAGTGGCAATGAAAGATTGCGATGCCTCTACCGAAGGGTAAGGGAAACGCTTGTGCAGGATCAAGCACCTGCAGCATACCTCTTTCGTATATGAAGACGTCTCTTTGTGCGTCATTGATTCTTATCACGCTCTTTCGCAGTCCAGCTGCTCCTTTAATCATATCACTAGACTACAGGGCCTTTTTTGCTTTTACTCTTTAACTCCTTTCCGAGGAGCTGCTCTTGGTTGTTGCAAATAATATGTGAAAACGTATTGATATGTAGAGCCCAAACTACATCACCTGTATTCTATTTTAACTCGCCACTTATGCACTTTCTGTTATGCAAATATCGGACAATTTTAAATCCCTATACCCATACTCGCGATCCCTGCATTGAAACCCTATCCGGCAGTCAAACGCATCACGCACAATGGTTCAAGAGTAAGAGAAGTTCCGCTAAGTTGTAAGAGTCGGAAACTCAAAGAGCAACGCCAATTATCTGATGCTTCCATCTTTGTAGGAGACTAGAAGACACAAAGACTAATGTTCCTTGACTAGAACCATTCTATATTAAGGATAGCGCATCGACCCTCTAACCGACTTGCACATGGATACTTTGGAATAAACTTTCCATTCCGCATCCTTGCCGTCTAGCTGCTGACCACAACTCCGTCTTCAAAGAACAAGATTGCTTCGAGCGGTGGGAGCGCTTGCGCATCGTCGGATTTTCATGGATCAGGATGGTAGAGGATGAATACACCGACATCGGGGTAAGACCTCAACGCTTGGCCCCTCCACACGTGCTCCACCATGAACCCGCTCCACCCGCCCTTTTCCGCTATCTTGCAGACTACTTCTGACTGCCACTCGGATAGAGCGACGACCGAGATTCCGCGTTGGGCGACGATGTCTCCTTGTAAGTGGTCGTCCCATCAGGCCTACCTCAAAGCTGTTCGCTCCCATCCAGGCTGCTCTCTGATTGTGACCTTTCTTAATTCAGGTTGACTATGTCGGTCACGTCCTCCGTTTATAATTATCGTTATGAGCATGGAAGGCGTTATCATGCCTATTCAGAAGGCAGTGAGTACAGCCAAGACCCACATTTCGTTTGATGCTGATATAGTCGCAGAATACTTGGTGCCAAATGATGAAGTATGTCCATGTTACACCACATTATTTTCGGGAAGGCTAATCTAGTGCAGCCAGAAAAGGACCGACTCGGTCCGTATTATATAATTCTACTATTTAAGTCACTACATTAGCTAAGCAATGGTCGATAGACCTTCAGCATCATACCTTCCGTCTAACGGCTGATGGAGCCTTGTACATTGCGCCTATATCAAAATCGAATGTCCAAAATGTTCTTGACGTCGGTACAGGAACGGGCATCTGGGCAATTGAGTTTGCTGAGGAGCATCCTCAGGCAAGTGTCCTCGGGACGGATTTGAGGTAAATACGTCTTCACTCTCAACCTACAAAGTCATTCTATATCCTTAGGACTATCATAAATACATCCTGCTAACACCTATCTAGTCCTATTCAGCCAGAGCTGTAAGGCCATTCGAAGCTACTGCTTTATTATTGTACAAAATATTCTAAATTGTTCCCATCTCCAGCCTTCCTCCAAACTGCAGTTTTCTAATCGACGACGCGGACCATGACTGGATTTTCCACCAACCTTTCGACTTCATTCATGCGCGGGCCATGATGGCTGCATTCAAGGACTGGCCGCGCTTCTTGGACCAGTCTTTTACGTACGTACCTTCACTTTGCTATTTCACATCAAGCCATCATGGTGGCTCTGGAAACATTTACCATACAAATATTGACCCATCGGAGCCTCCTTGGCTGCCACTCAAACTCAACCGAGAACAAATAACTCACTTATCCAAGCAACCTCAAGCCAGGCGGCTATCTCGAACTCCAAGAATTTCACCTCCCCCCACAATGCCTCACCAACCCTTCCCTCAACGTTAGCCTATCCTCCTCTCCTGCCGAATCACCCCATCCCCTCTCCCCGAACCCAATAATCCAGTGGGGCCAGTACATGAGCACAGCCGGCTCCCGCATCGGTCTCGACTTTCGCGTTGCCTCTAACTTCGGTCCACTTCTTCAATCTGCTGGCTTCGTCGACATCCACGCGACGCATTTCAAGTGGCCGTACGGCCCTTGGGCCAAAGGTGAGAAGATGAAAATGTTGGGAAGATTTGCGGCGCAGGACCTGGAAGACGGGTTGCAGGCTAGTGTGCTGGGGCTATTCACGAAAGTATTGGGGTGGACCAGGGAGGAGGTCGAGGTATTTCTGAGTTCAGTGAGGAAGGAGATTAGGGAAGGGTGTGAGGGGATCTGGCAACCTGTGTAAGTATTTGAGCCCCTTTTCCAAGATGATGATGTATAATGAGTGGGTTGCGAAAGGCGGACGCATGTTCAGTCTTGGGCAACGCTACCTTGCAAATACTTTATCACCCCAGCTAAATTCTGTCTCTAGTGTGTTCTGGTATGCTCGTAGGCCCTTGCCAGGCGAAGCTATCAAACCATCCCAAACTGTCACAACTCAAGAAATCACACTTGAGCCAGATGAAAATTATCTAACGACGCGACGGCAAGTCAGAGAGGAAAGGACTATGGCTGAAAAGGATGTCGAAAGGACGGATAGTGCAGTTGATGCCCAACCAAGTGACGCAGTGTAGGCCTGGCTGGGAGAGCATGCCGTAATTGGTGCGCAGTGCGAGTTGACTTCGTGGGAGTATATTCTTGGATTCGGATTCAGATCCGGAAAGTAAAGTTTGGCAATTAGTAAACTCACTACTGAATAACATACCTGTGAAGCATTTTCGCCCACATTTGGGGTTCTAACGCAGTGGTTTTACAGCTTACTCTAGGAAGCTTGAATTCTAAGCGGTCATGGGATTGGACTGGGATTTGGAGTTATTCCTATGAAGACCTCCACCTTACATCAAGGGCCCAAGTGGAAAAACCAAAGGCCGGAATCTGGAGAAGTCTAAAATCCAAATGAAGGACCTGGTCGAGCTTCAAATATCAAAGGATACATATTTGAGCCCACGCCGGGTATTGAGTGCAGTCAAGTGCAATTCCATTACTGCTCCATGTGCACAAGTATCTACCCTTGAATCACTGTGTCAGATGCTGAGCATAACGAGATAGTGTTAGTGAGATGTCAACAGCAGGATCCGAGCAAGTCCGAATGATAAATCCAACATTTACCAACCCTTGGGCTAATACTAACTTAGCCCACATTCTGCGACGTCGTCAAACTATTCTGCAATCCCATCCGAACTTTAAGCGGTAGTATAATCCTTTCCTCGCCCGTTGCTACATCGCAAGGTTTTCCTTGTTCAAAGTATCGGCTTTTCCGTTACTCTCTCCAGCAGATACAGTAATATAAGTATCCGCCTATACTGTAGAGAATATTGCTCGAAGTGGCTTTTCAACACCAAAAGATTTCTTCAAATAGGAGGTGACTTTTGAGTATTGGCTTATATTAGGAACAGGACATCAGATGAAGGAACCCGGACTAGGTAATACGGCCTATCAGACTTTGAGCGGTACTATATTGGCTGCAAAACATGTCCCCGGAAGGCCGTTCGTTGTGCAGAGCTCCTCGTAGCAAGAGTGGGACCGGATGCCGAACAACTAACCCCGAACGAGACAATGAGCCTGCAAATGGTCTTCGATACAGTTTCCGACGTCATTGCAACCATGGTGGCGGTTTATATCGAGGTGGTCTGATCAGAGAAGGGGACAAAGTCGAGATTATTTGAACACCTCAGTCGCCGGCACCGGACAAAGCACCCAAGCAAGAATCTGTGTCGTGTCGACAATCCTCACCTGCTTCTAATTTTCTTCCTTTGCTCCATAGACATGTTAACTTTGCGTCCAGTTACGCCCGTATAAATCGCTGTGTAAATGTAAAGCGGGCGAAGGGGTCGCCTTTCTTTGATGGGGCAATGTTCGCCAAGGGTTTCGGGTTCTGTTCACCGGATGCCATAAAAGTGCATCACTACGGAACCGAGCTTCCCGTGGTGCTGTTGATTTGATATGGGTGATAACCGGAAATAACTTCGCGGTTGCGTTATGAAGAAACAAAAACATAAAGGAGAGAGAGATCCATGAGATGTAAGGACTTCTGACCGAATGCTCTTGAATCCATCATCGGCAGAACACAACCAAGAAAGGTTGGAGAATAGAAAGAAAAGAGCAACAGAGAGCAGTTAGAAGAGTCGGTTCATCCGCACTTTCGAATAGTGTGGTGTAGATTTTTCCTAGCATCGGCGTAAGTTGGACGGTGATCAGAGGAAGTGTTAGTTCAATTGCAGCCTGGAAGTTTTGCCTCGGAAGCAAAAGTCCGGAAAAACCCGTAATTGTTGCCGCTCTAACGGTACTTCTGGTAATAGCCACGAGGGTCATACCTTCATGGGTGAATAGCATATCTTTATAATAGGTGTGGCTCCAAAAGGTGGAACTATGTTAGGCGATATTGCCCTCCAGACCGGGATCTTGTCGCACAAGAAGCACTAAAACGAAGTATAAACTTTTGTCAGCACGAGTTGATATCGAAGGCTGACCGGACGTGCAAGGTGACCTGGTGACGATATTCATTGGAGTCTCGACTCCAT